GGGGGGGTTGGCTATCTATCATCTCATATCCAACTCGCGCTCGTGGAATAATTGTTATCTAGTCAACTGATATTTTACGTTCACTTATTGTTATTCGAAGTGCTTCAGAACCGTAACTTTAAGTACCTTTGGTCTCTTCAACCCTCAAAGCAAACCCTACGTTTTGATTGAGGGAAGAGGCTCTTTTCATCCACGACACTCAAAAAGTAAATAGGTAAAATCATATTCAAAAGGAGAAATAACAGTTGGTTATCAACTTTTATTTTTTCTTTTGAATATGATTTTCCGAAAAACCGGCCTAGTTTAATTTGGGTGTGCGCCGCTATACACGAAGCTATAACCTGAATTCCTGAGGGTGATCGACATAAAACAATCTACACCAGCGTCAGCATCAAATGAAACGATAAATATTTTGTTTAAAACAAAATGAAGTCATTTTTGATTATGCAGAAAAAGACAAGCGTGTTGATCTAAACAGAAAATTACGTTTTTCATCCTGGGAGAAGTTCAATTCTTGTATACGGCGGGCCGGTGCGCCCGAAATTTGAATTGACCGATCTGGATTCAGTAGGCAGGAAAAGCTGTACTGTCCTGACGTCGAATACACGTTATAAGGAAAGCCATTTAAGTCAGGTATCTTTTCTCACTGGAGACAACGTTAAATAATCAAGAAAAGGGATTTTATAGCTGCAAAAACTATGTGTAAAATGGGAAAAAGTTGAAACATTAAAATTAAAAGCTTGTGTTTTCAAGCTTTTAATTCAGCGCCAAAAATGGGTCGTTCACGTTCGCCATCTCGCGCTTCGATCGCTGTCTACAGGGCGGATCGAAATTGGTTGCGTCATGTTGAACAATATGCTGTTCCTCGTCAAATCAAACCCAGAATTCTCGACTTGGGCTTTAGAAGAGGCCAAATCATCTTAGCGTTGTCTTTATTTTTTGTTAAAAGAAAAAGACTATTATCGAGTCGTTTCGGAAAGAGAGCTCAGTTTTGACTGCCGTTCGTATTGCGCGCGCAGCGCCTGCGTGCAAGAATAGTGTCTTACCAACTAAACCTATGAGGGGGTGAGGGTTAAGGGTGGGGTGGGTGCCTATTGGGAAAAATTTAAAACCCCGCCACTTTTTAACCTCAAAATGTATCTTTTTTCTTACTACATCCCAGACTGTAAATGAGTTAGAAGAACAAGTTCCATTTTTTCCTTTTTTTACAATTTAATTAATTCGAATTTACGTCATATAAATTTTATTTTAAATAGATAGCGAATTAAGCAAAGAGCGTTGTTCATAGCTAGATAGTGTCAATATACACATGTAAAATCCCAATAGTGTAATAAAAAATAATAATAATAATTAATAAACAACAGACAGCACAGGTCGTGGCCGCTGTCGACAATATATTATTACTTTACAATATATATAACTACATATATTTTTTTGTTTTTCTTTTCCCTCGTTTTGAATTTGATATACTCCTAAACTTTTCAAATCTCATAATACTAAACAATTAAACTACATCGGAAATTCGCAGATATACGTGTTTGAATAACAGTCTATGAAAAGGGAAAAAGAGAAACTTTTCAACATCGCTATTCAGAAGAAAAGAAATATTTTCTCTTTATCATTCAATTTCACTCGGTAGAGTTCAATATCGTTTTAAACAAGTTCAATTATTCTCTGACATTGCACTGACATGTAGGAGAGCGATAAAACTGATCAATAAACCCTTTGCTAATCATTCAGAATACAAATCAAGCAAAATTTCTGCAACTGTTCCGTTCCACGAACATTTATAAATGGTTAGTGCATTTCTTTCAGTTCTCTACACGGTAATCAAGGAAGAACACAATTCTAAGTAAACTTCGAAAAAGGAATCTCTAAATAACCATTTTAACGTGTAGCCTCAATGCGCACCTTTACCCGTCATTTGTGATATGAAGCTGCGGGCTTGTTAAAACACAGTAATACTCATTTCAGTATAACGCGATACACTACACTGAGGTTTATAAAAACATTGCAATCCAACCTGCAGTCTAAGAATGAAACCCATTAACTTTCCACAATCTATAGGTTACCTAAAAAACGTTCCTATTTTTCTTGTGGTATACCATGGAATAGCCCACGAGTCACTGCACTAACCTAATTTAGGTTAGTTATACTTACTACTTTTCTATCTGGAAGTGTACATATTAGTTTTGCAACGCTTTCTCGTGGTATACCATGGAATCTCCCACTAGTCACTTGTACTTTCTCGGTATACATAGGGGACTATTTTAACTATTTTCAACTATTTTATACCATGCCAATTAAACTTTTAGAATGTTTTTGAACTAACATCCTATTGTTTACGATCTTCTTGATCGGTAAGTGACGTTTTGTTGTTGAAATCTTCATTTTCTGCTGGGTGTTCGATCCGAAATTAAAGCCGAGGGGAGAATTGGACTCTGACATGGCTCCAACAATACTTGAAAGAAAATGTAGAAATTGGGCCACTTAGTAAATTTCTGTGGGAATAATATCGCAGCGCACGATGGGAAGGTCGGGTGTAATACCATGGAGTATACAACGACTTTCCTGTGTTCTGATTGGCTGCATTTTCTATGGCATGGTATAAAACTGTACATGTATATTGAAGTAACGAGCAAAAATTGTAACCTATGTGTTGGCTATCAACATATGCTATCTATAGGTAAAGTCCTTGTAGGACTATACATGTAACAACCTGCTAAAGTATGTTACATAGATATTCAGGCATTTCTGTAAGTAAACTACCGATTTTGCCAACCCTTGATTTTTGACCTCCCGATTGTTCCAACATCGATACAACGTTAAAACAGATTTTCCTTTGATTTTTAAAATCTCACGATTTTTCGAACCAATTTCAGTTCCCCTTACTACATGTAGGTGGCTCGAGAAATCAGCATTCCACTGAACTATAAGTCCTTTTGGATATCGGCATTCTCAGAGACAAGACATAAAGTACATTTAGAAGAAACTCCAGAGCACGGGAAGCTCTGATAAATTGATTGATTCGATGAAGAAATAATCTCATATTCAAAACAGAAAGGACGACAACAGACCGTCCAATAACATTAATGTCTGTTGCAATTCTGTTTAACCCTGTGTGATATAGTGATCACCCAAAATCCTTTGTGACTCCTGTTGATCTTCCTCTCTGTTTGAAACCCTCCCATCTTTTATTTTTTTTTGTTTTACCCTCAGGTAAGAATTTTTTGTTGTTGTTTTTTGTATAGAGGATAATATCCTATGGAGAAATCACTCGAACGTTTCATTCAACATTTGTTTCTCTTTGAAATTGTTTTTTCGAAATAACTTTTCTTAGGGTGTGTTCCGTTGGAGCGATCTGAAACAGGATCAGTGATCCAAGATCACGCAGATCATGGTGCATCAAAGGAACCGATGAATCCACTCTGATCACGGATTGCTGGGTTCCTTTGACGTACCATGATCCGTGAGATGCTGGCTCACTGATCCTGATTTAGATCACCACAAAGGAACGTACCCTAAGTTTTCCCTGGCAATTGTGCAGTGTGCGTTAGTGTAATCTTGCATGGTCGCTGATCCTAATCCCAGTCTTCCACATTCCCGTACAGCTGGTCGTCATACACGTTCATGTAAATAGTCTCCTGAAATGAAGGAAGGAAGATGATGTTCAGCGCATGATATCTACCGCTCAGTTTACAAAGTAGATATACTGGATTTACAAAATCCAGGTATACTGGACACCTATTTAACAAAAACGCTGTTGTTGGAATTAGCATAGCCTGCGAATATTGCGTAAGGCAAAACAAAAATTGCAGTCTTTACATTAAAAAACGAATTGCTGGGGTACTTTATCTCTAATCAGCAAAAATAATTTATAGCAACGATGTCTTGATGAGAATTATAAAACGTCAAGGACAGTCAAGGACTTTGATGGCCGATCAAGAGAGATTAAGATAGTGATGTTATATTCGTTTTGTCCTAGTCTTTTTCTCTCTCAGTTCCTCACAACTTAATTACCTCTGTTGACTTAAACGAGTTTAACGCCCATGTGATCTTTAAATAAAGCTCTCTTCTCTTAGAAACAAAATAAATGATATAACTTTCTATAAGTAATTTAAAGAGAGCTATGAATAGGACTCACCTTGTGGCACCGTTCTAATCTTTTGATTGTCCTACTAATTGACTCAAAAGTAGGTCGACGGTCAGGCTCGTTGTTCCAGCATTCACACATCAGGGCATAGCTGAGAAATAATGACACGCCATAATGTTGCCATGTATCAGTTAGTTTAAATCTTGATCTTTTGATGATTGAGATTAAGATTGAGATCGATAGTAAAATGATCCAAAATGACACGCCATAATGTTACCATGTATCAGGTAGTTTAAATCTTGATCTTTTGATAATAATTGAGATTAAGATGATGATTGAGATTAAGATTGAGATCCATAGTAAAATGATCCAAGATGATAATGAAAAGTAAAATGTACAGTTTAACAATTCAGACATGTTTCGGCAGAAAGGTGTCTGTAAATTTTAAAATTGCCGTCATTCATTTGAAATTAATTGTTACCTTCCTGCTATTTAGACCTTTCGGTAAAAAGTACTAATTATGGAAAGCAGTGCAATCAAACTGGAAAACATGCCATTTATTGTCCAAAAAAAAAAAAAGGAAATTTGTGGCTTAACTTGCAGGTTAATTTCAAATGACGTAGCACACGTACCCAAATTTTTGTAAGAGACGACTTAAGAGGAGTAAAACTTTCAGCCTTATAGAGTAAATAATGCTTTCAGAATTCAGCATGTGCCCCTTCCCATCTTTCGGCAAAAACAAGTCTGTGAATTTTACAATTGTCATCATTTATTTGCAATGAATTGTTTTCTTCCTGCTATCCGGACCTTTCCGTAAAAAGTAGTAATTGTAGAAAGCAGTGCAATCACACTGGAAAATAAGTTTACAGTAAGAAAAAAAAAACTGAAGAAATTTGGCTAAACTTGCAAGTCAATTTCAAATGACGTAGGACACACCAAAATTCTGTAATAGACGTTTAAACAGGAGTAAACGTTTCAGCCTCATAGACTAAGTAATACTTTTAGAATTCAGCATCTGCCCCTTCCTTGCGCTAGCTCCCGAAAGTTAAAGTAAATTCGAGGCTCCATTCACAGTCAGTTAAGAAAACTTCAGCAGTCCTGCCAAACGCCTGGTTCATTATACCCTATGCAATTTCTTTTCGCCTGAGGCTCAACACAAGTGGTTCACGTTCGGAACATAATTGAAAAAAACAACGTTAATAAAAACATCGATGAATCATTCCACTTACATTTCTTCGTCTAAGTGGACGGGCTTTGGCATTCTGTAATTGTCTTTTATCATGTAGGGAATACGATGAGCCTTAATATTAGGATATGGACGACCACCTAAGAACATTTTCAGACGAGTTAATACTTAGGTATAACATGTGCAAGCAAAAAAGGTACAGAGTACAAAGTACTTTCTTACAAAAACAAAGCACTTTATTGAAGTAGCCAACTAATACCAACTTGATTATTAATTAAGTTCTTTAGAGTTCTTTTCATCGTATAGTGATCGAGAGCCCGCGTAAAGTTTTAGTTACGTCCCACATGTTATAAGATAGATCAACAGTGTTGTGACAATGGCGAGTCAGATAACTGACGATGACAGACAAAAAATAACCAAGGAACACTGACTTCTAAAGTACCCGTAGACCTTGTATTACTATGGATCCTATTTGTCTTGAGGGGATTTAATTCCTGGAACAATTACATTGTAAGTGCTGGGATCTGGATACTCCGCTTCCCATAAAGTTGATTAAAAAAATGCTTTTGATACAAAATGGCTTCGATAAAGAGGACGAGGAAGAAACATCTCAAAGTGTGAATTGTAGCTAAAAGGAACACTATCACGGTGATTTTGTTGCAGTTTTGGTCAAATCTTTAGTTAAACGGAAGAGTGAATTTTAATTTAGAATTTTTTCCAAGTCAAGGCGTTAAAATTTTTAAAGGTGTGCGAAAAGTGATAATTTATATCACAAAACTCTTTATAACGCCCTTATTATAGCTTCAGTGTACTTGTATATTTATGTTCAACAAAACAAGATCATTATTTTTAGGGTCCATCAATTTAAATATGTCTTTTAGGCTGTGGCTTTTCTGATAGTGCACTTGTTATATGCGCGTGTTCAAAGTGCACACCCGAAACAATAATAACTAAAAAATAATGACAAGAGCGAATTATGCGTTACCTATGGTGAAAATCTCGTACAATACGATACCATAGCTCCATCTTGGAAAAAAAAGAAAAGAATAAACAGGGTTATTTTGGTAAAAGTAATAGATTTACAAAGATATGTCGGGGCATAGTATAAACAGAATGTATAACATCTAATTCAACATTTCTTACTTATTGGCTGTTCAATGACTTCTCTAGAACTCCCTGTTGTTGTCTCTTAAATTAAATGTACTGCCGTAGAACGATCAAGTCCAAATTCAAGTTCAAGTAACTGGTATTTGTTTTATAAATATACTGTCGTAATTGACACTCACACGTCACTCTGTGTAGTACAGTAACCATACAGCAACGACTCCACTGCTGTCCATTTGACTGGCAGGCGACCCTTAAAAATGTAATGTACCATGTTTAAAATAAATGAATGAAATAAGGGCAAAAAATATTTTCAAAATAATTAACCAGCAAAACTGTGATGGGCACATTCTTTCGGGTTTGATATCGCTATGCAGGGGAAATAATTTTCATAAAGCACTCAGGTCCCAGTAGTTCAAAGGGTGTCCACCAGGTTTTAAAATCACTGTTCAGTGGATGGCGTAGTATGTTTTGTCTACACCAACAAGTTGATAGTGATTTTATGCAGTGGATGGTAACGTTATTCACACTTTGAACAACAGCACCCAGATGTGTAAGTGGCTAATTTGGCAAATATCCAGAAAGAACCAGCAAACGTTTTATAGTAAATTGGTTACCATGCGATTAGAAATATAGCAGGTCTATTGATCTTGCACACTGGTACGTTGCAGAAGATAGTACACTGAATGAATGTCATTAAAATAAAATCAAGATATTTTAAACTGTTTGTTATGCCGTATAAGGATAAGGCCTGAAGTTACCTTGATGAAGAAACAGTTTCTTTTTTGATTCTTGAAATAAATAATTCATGGTATCTCACCGAAATCCTCCTTGATTATGAATGTTCTTATTTTATTTTTACTCTGTAAATATTCTTTCTTTACATCTCTATACCTTGGTACGTTTCCGATAAATATCATCTTGCTGTACATCTCTCGCCATTCCAAAATCTGTTATTTTGCATGTTTCTTCTTCGCCTACAAGCACGTTCCTTGCTGCTAAATCTCGGTGAATTATCTGAATGAGTTTTAAAACAAAATTGAGTCTTAACATTCTTTAAGACTTTCATTACACATATACACGTAAATTTACGACTCTGGAGTTTAAATTAACGCTGGTGATAGCAGTCTTGGGACTCCTATCTCTTAACCACTGTGATGCTGCATAAACAGGGGAAAAATTACACCATCGACTACATACTTCATTATCAAATTTTCAGTATCATTTTAGATTAGAGTGTCCTCCTTGCCATTAGGTGGATTTGTGTTCGGTAGTCCCAAATAGTTCCCCACCCCCACCCCCCCATCCCTCCCATCCCCCCCCCCCAACGCTTTGGAAAAGCCATGTCAATATACCAATTTCGATATATCAAAATTCTAACTTGCCCCAAGGCTTAGAACTCATAACGAAATTGAGGTTAAGCCTCGGAGCCAAGTTAAAATATTAATACAGTGAAACCTCTATTAAGCGGACCCCCAATTAGGCGGACACCGTCTCTTAAGCGGACACTAAGCTGGGTCCCGAAATTAACGTCTTATATTTCCCTTTACAACGAACCCCTATTCAGCGGACACCTCTATTAAGCGGACGCGGACACTAAAATAAATTGTATTTGGCTAATTTCTATTGTTAAAAACCTCTATTAAGCGGACAGCAAACTGAATTGACAAAGAGTCCATGTACCGCACGTATTATCGTTGCTGCTTTGCTGTTATGTTTTTGCATTTAAAAAAGAAATTAAAATTGGTAATGAAAGGTATTGAACTTGAACTCTGGATAGCTTCCTTAACAAAATGGAACTTTATCGCAGTACAGAGTAGCCGTTGAATGTTAATCGTTAACGAACATTGCGCAATTTTTACAAACCGCTATTAAGCGGACACCCTCTATATATTAAGCGGAAACTTGGGAAGGTCTCGAAGGTGTCCGCTTAATAGAGGTTTCACTGTATAACAAAACTGGCCTGTTGCTACTAGTCAGCCTCTCTCCAGTTGGAGTCAAGTTTTCTGTGCCACTTGCACCGAAAAATTTGTTTAATTTGCTTTTTTCCCAATTAGAACAGCAGTGCTAAAAACCATGACGCGACCTTTATCTCCTAGTTTACCGACTTCTTGTCGGCGCCAGCTTTTTGTCTATTCTCTTTTGTGTTTTACCTTCACTCCGAAACATGACAAGTATTGACATGGGCTACAATAGGGACTCTGCAATATCAAATACTATTTTGGGGTCCCTTAATAAGAGAATTTTCCCTTCTTTTCCTCAAAATAGTGTTAGTTTTTTAAATAGGGTGCGAGGAGGTTTGAAAAAATCATGCCTAGAGGAAGAATGCAAAGAAGTGGTGGCTAAATATCGCCAAGAATCGTTTTCGTAAGTGTCACAACTTATTTTTTCAGTGTCTTGTTAATGTGTTCATTTTTTTTTTTTTTTTTCACCTTGTTAGCAGCCAGGAATGCCATGCCATCAGCTATTTCCCGCGCAAACTTTAGAAGTTGTACTGATGTGAGAGAACTTGACGGCTTTACATCCGGGTCCTTAAAGTAGTTGTCACTGAGGCCTCGGCTTTTTCTCAGGAATCCAAGCAAGTCCCCGTACGGTATGTATTCGAACATCACCATGACCGGATCTGGAAATCCAACAGGTTAAAGGTTGAAGTTGCAATAAGGATTAAATGTACCTCGGCAAAGCAAGCATACCGTAAATTGCCGTTTATAAGCCCTGGGTTTTTTTCGATGGGAAGGGTTTATATCCGGAGAGGCTTACAAGCGGAATAAGCAAACTGTTTCGAAAAGAGCTACAGCAGTGTTGATGGAAAAACGTTTTTCAAATACTGTTTATTTTTTTATTTTTTATAAATTAAGCTTTGAAACATCATAATAAATTGAATTCATTACATTTTAAATTAGCGGGGGTGGTGGGGGGGGGGGGGGGGGG